GCTCTATCGAATGGTATATAAACGAAGTCGCCTCGCATGGACAAAGTTCAAAATTGATCAAAATTATATTAGATAATATGCAATAAAATTATGTATGATATTTTACACTATTTTCGCTTGAAAATAAGGCTCAAGATGCATAGTTTTACTTGGATATACTTTAATAAAACTTGCCTTACCTTTCTAAAAACAATTCTCAATGAAATGTCAATAAACCCCTAGTGGCCCATTTTCTATAGCTTATACGCCCCCGTCCTTTTCTGGACAATCTCGAATGTCCTGCGGGACGTGACAAACGGAATTTTTCTGGATTCAGGACTGTCCCGCGGTTCTCTATATATTTCACTTCATTTGAATAATCTCAATTGTAGTTGAAGACCCTTATATATTCGTTTACTGACATTCTCTTCACTTTACACTGGCATTAAATGGAGTCTTTCAGCTCAATTTGTTATATTTTGCGAAAAACCACTTTGAATTTCACAACAATTTCTCCTCTACGTTTTTTGAGGTTGCAGAACTGTATTTCAAGTAACTCTCTAAAGTTAATAGGTTCAAAAGGTTAATATGACTTGTTGTTGAGCTATTCTAAAGATTCTACGATATCACTACGAATCAAGACTTTGAAATCACAATCTGGTCTGAATTGGTGAGTATGCCACAGAATCTTTAGAATAGCTCAGCAATAAGTCATATTAGCCTTTTGAACACAGGGGCCATTCAAGCATTTCGGAATCAACTTTTGACTACTTTGACCCTCTCCCTGCCCCAGAATAATCAATATTCCTGTTTTTTCAATGGAACGAAACGATTGAGGTGATCTTGGACCGATCTCCTACCCTCTAAAGCTGATTAGGAAAACTTGAATGGTCCCATATTAACTTTAGAGAATCACTTGCAATGCAGTCCTGCAACCTCAAAAAACGTAGAGGAGAAATTGTTGTGAAATTGAAAGTGGTTTTTCGCAAAATATAACAAATTGAGCTGAAAGACTCCATTTAATGCTAGTGCAAAGTGAAGAAAATGTCAGTAAACGGATGTATAAGGCTCTTCAACTACAATTGAGATTATTCAAATGAAGTGAAATATACCATTTTATAGAGAATTTCACGGCGCATCTTTTGATAAAAAAATTAAATTCAAGAAATGAAAATTTACTTGAAGTATAAGTGAAATACTAAGTGACCAATTT